TGAGTCTTTTGCTTTAAAACCCATGAAAGTAAAAGGTCATCTTATGATGTACCTTCATCAATTAATATTACCAACATAAAAACAAATCATTTTTTTTCCAAGAAACATTACTAGAGAATTACAAGATTTCAAAAGGAAATTATTACTTATATGGAGACAATTGTTTTTTCAAAATACAAGATCAAGTTTTAAAATCTATTCTGGATAAAGATTTCTGAAACCGAGGAAAAATAAAAAAAAAAAGGTTTTATAAAACTATTATTTGTCTGAATCACTAACCAAACACGCTTAGAAATAATAGTTAAAACAAGAGGGCAATGTTTTTTTATTTTTAAGGTGACTTGATCTCTTCAAGGTAATAGTAATAAGAGAATACTTCTAGTACTGAAACAAGGAGTCATTGTTGTTTAGAAGAGGCAATTTGAACATTTCAAGACAAGTGATACCGAATATTTTTAGTAGTGAGTTAACACGACTAAAAAATTAATGTCTTCTTCCAAGTACAGGAGTGTCAAAGTAATAAATAACCCAGCAAGACCAGGGTCCAATCACAGGGAGGTTAATTGTATAAATTATAGATAACAATAACACAACAACAACAATAACAACAACAATAGTAATAATAGTAACAATAGTAGTAGTAATGGTAAAAAAGAAAAAAAAGAAGTTGATGAGAACTTTGAAATGAAAGATTAATGTAATGATTAAACAATGATAACAACAAATATCAATGTTAGAGGATTCACTAATAGTATGTCAAACAAGTATAGTATAAACTCTTATTATTCAATTAGAAACCACACACAAAGGAGGTTCCAATCAGATTATAAATTGTTAACATGATGACATTAGTTATCTTATTCGATTAATGCTAATACTTGAAAATCTCATCAGCCATTCATGATTATAACTTATGTTAACAACAAATCAAGTTCCTTTCATAGCTCAAGTGTTAGTTATCCCATACAGTATGAGCTATAAGAGTGCCAAACATTTGTTGTACCAAGTGTTATATAATATAAATCTAGATTAGTCATTTAACAAGCAAAGTATTAAAGAGTGAACTAGATAATAAATATAAAACATGTTAGTATCAAATATTAAATTCCATGTTAAGTTTACACTATACTTATTCTTACACCATTATTATAACATTCTTACCTTGACATAATAAACTTAACTAAATATAATGAAAGAAAGAAAAATAAATAAATAAAATATAAATATAAATAAGATAAAAGGTAACTAAGTAAAGGGAAATGAAATGAAAGACATGAATAAGATATTAATGAAAGTAAAACTTAAGCATTATAAAAATACAAAGAGAGAAAGAAAGAGCGTGATCTTGATTTAGCGATCAAGATGCCCAAATGCATGACAAATGCCTCCTTTTATAGACTAAAATTGAAAACTATTGATTTGATGACTAATTGATGAGTGGGTGACCAACTCTTGACTTGGTGACAATCTTTATCTTCTTTTGTCTACCCAAAATGCCATTGATAACGTCAGAATTGGAACCACTTGAAAACATGAAAGTTGTAGAAAATTGTCTCAGTTTTCCATAAAAAAAAAAATAGAGGTTATTTGAATTCCTAGAACTCTAGATATTGGCTAAACATTGAACAGTACTTGGACCGCAGGACAGATTCAGACTTCTTCATTGTTGTTATAATTTGGACTTGAAAATGACTTTTTTAAATCTTGGGCTCCCCTAAAAGTTGTAAGCCCATGTCTTACCTTTCCATCCATATAAAGTATATCTAAATATGAGATCTATAGCTCCAGATATGACCCAATTACCGAACAGTGTTCCGATTTTGACTGCACCGACATCTCTTTTCTAAGTTTGGCCATCTCCTTTTCCTTTCAATTTCAGTTCTTAAACTCATTAATCAATCCTTTTATTTATGTGATGCACTTAAAATGAACATTTACCATAAATTAAAGATATCTTATATTATTATATATGTTATTATAAAATATACTTTAGTTAAGGAGTTATTGATACTTCAAGTGCAAAATAATAATATAAAACCTTGATAAAATTGCACTTTTAAATACTAATCATGAGTCAAAGAAGTAATGAATGATCCTTTCAAATTGATCAATGAGAGAGAATTTCCAGCAAGTAAATGTATCATGATGGACATTATAAATACTGAGTTGTGTAAAATTAAAAAAAATTCTAGAAAAAGACTTATATGAGTCAACTCGAGTGGGTTAGAAGCCAAACAACCAAGGGGAATCAAATAAAAAATAACAAGACCTCACCAATCAAGCACTAAAAAGATTGAGAAGAAATTAGGGTCTATATTTCAAATCAAGTAAAGATATATTATATTTCGAACTCCAAAGTATTAAACAATGTGTTCTGCAAAACTTTATAAAAGAAATTCTCGATGGGATCTGTCAAAAGGAAAACCATCTCGAAATGGCCAAAAAATGAAAATACTTTTGAAAGTTTTTTACTTTTAAGAATTTTTTTTTTATTTTCTACCTGAGTAGGTCATCCATAAAAATTAAACCAATTTGAAAAAATCTTCATATTTTTCATTAATAGGCATCATCCATTACAATGAGATTAATATTAAAAAACTTTTATATTTTTTTTCACAAATAGGTAGGTCACCTTGAAAAACAAGATTAATCCTAAAAAATATTTGTATTTTTCACCTGGACAAGTCATTCATGAGAAATATAATACCTGAAAAATCTTTGTATTTTTAGATTATTATTTTTTTTTTGTATTTTTCACTAACAGACAAGTCGCCATGAATAATTAGACAACTTTTAAAAATTTTTTATATTTTTTACCAACAGGTAGATCATCTAGAATAATTAAAACACTTTTGAAATCTTTATATTTTTTATCAACAAACAGGTCATCTAAAACAATTAAACTACTTTTTTAAAAAATCTTTATATTTTTAATCAATCGCCATGTCGTTTAAAACAATTAAGCCACTTTTAGAAAATCTCTAAATCTTTCATCAATTAGTAGGTTGCATGGAATTATTAGACCACTAAAAAAAAAAACAGAGAAGAAGAGAAAGGTTTTCATACTTATGTTTCTTTACAAACTTACTATACAAGATAAAAAAAAATTTAATGTCTTTACACCGTAAAAATTATAAAGAGGAAACAACTATCATAACCTAAAATTTGACATTTTACTTTTAATTTTATTTTAAGAGAGGATAAAAATTAGATATTAAAATATCAGGGATTGATTTTAGTTAAAAAATTAGATATTAAACTATAATGTGTTTTTGCCCCTTTTCCTATTATTTTTAGTTTGAAAAAGATTTTTAGAATATTTTAAAATTTTAAAATTTTAAAAAATAAAATAGTGTTTTTGTTTGTTTAAAACTTCGAAACATCTGTATTTATATAAATACAAGCCATAGATAATAGGGGTACATCAAAGGTTACTAAAGGTAGACCTCTTCCCCAAAAAAAAAAAAAAACCTACTTTCATTTCCCTAATATGTATAACCTTTTACTAGTGTTAACTCCACCACAATCAAGTCTCCATTGTTTCCTTCGCAGCCTTAATAGTCTTTACCATAACCAATCTCGTGATATCAAACCACCCATAAAAGCTTCTTTTTATTCTTTAAAAAAAATAAAAAATAAAAAACCCAAGAATGTTGAATTATCTTTTTATGCGCAACATTTCTTTTTATTTTCATATGAAGGATATTAGTAAATGGTGAATTTTCAGATTCCAATTAATCATTTAAAAAAGAAAATATAGATGCTAATCAATAAATTAAGCAAAACACAATTTGAAATATCAATTCTGTCATCCTATTAATTATAACAAATTATTCAAAGTAGTTTATTAAACATAAAGCTTTTTTTGTTTTTTAATTATGGAAGTGCAGACAATCTAGGGGCATTGCAATTTTTATGCCTCTATGTTGGTTTGTTCTATAGCAAGTTTATATAAACGGCTGGTTTTTCATAAGATAAATTGTTGAGAATCGAACTGCGAAAGCTTTGTTTAGGAATTCGGTCGGTTATTAACAGAACCATTTGATTCTCCACCCTGTCAGCCATCGGGACGGACGAAGTGAAAACGGGCGCGAAGAAGAAGAATACATGGTAGAAGGTATAGTTTTTAAACCTACCCGGTCCAAGATTTGAGTTTCAAGTTTTTATAAAATTATTAAGTTTTGATTGAGTTATCAAATTATTTAGATTAATTTTAAAAGAATTTAAAATTATATCATTTTAATAAAAAAAATCGAAGGATTATAATTATATTTTTGACAGAGTCTTGCTCCATCACCTCAGGTTTTTTTAATTTTTTTAACTATGTCCGATTCCAATCTCAGATTGACAGGGTTTTGAATTACTCACCTGACCGACCAAATTTATAAACTATAATAAAAGGATATGATAAAAGGATAATCTTGAACATAACAATATTTACATTGTAATAAACACAACCTCAAACAAACAACCACCAATACTATATATCTCAATATTTAATTTATATTTTATAAAATTATTATAATTTTAAATAAATTTTTAATTTTACAAGTTTTTTATTATATAATTAATTAAAAATTCTTTTAAATAAAATTATTAAATTTAATACAGTTTATAGTTCAAATTAAAAATTTAACAAATTTAAATTAATCTAATATATTATTATTTTAATATAAAAAATATTATTTTAAAATTTTTTAAAATCAAATCATTTTTACTAGATACCTAGCTATTTTTAAATTTATTAAATTGATTTCATCATGTCATCACCATCTAATTTTAATTTAAATCCAGAGTTAAATAAGAATTTAGCCTTCCCATATAATTTCCCGACAAGATTAGTGTTTAGTTATCCGAAGAGTGTATTTAGCCATAATCTTGGGCAAAGCCATTCTATACATATATTAATTATTTAGAAATAGAAAGAAAATAATAATTTGTTGTCCGTCCACGTCACTTCTGGTGAACGGTTCAGATACAACAAGTGCATTCAAAGAGAGTTTTCTATAATTGAAAAAGACCGCCAGGGGGTTCTTGCGGTAAGTAAAGTCTCCTCCTCCTCCAGGCTCCAGACGAGTTGGAAAGAGAAAAACAGGATTGAATTGCAATGGCATCATGGAATTCAATTCCATTGGAAATCACCTACGAAACGTTTGGATGGATCGCCTTCTTTTCATGGTCTATCAGTTTCTATCCTCAAGTAATCTTGAATTTCCGACGCAAGAGGTAATTCATTCATCGCTTTACTTTACTTTTTTGATTATCCATTCCAACAACACCAATACGATATATCTTTGTCTTTTGAACAGTGTGGTGGGGTTGAACTTTGATTTCGTGGTGTTGAATTTGACGAAACATTCTTCGTATTTGATATACAACGCTTCTCTTTACTTTAGCTCTGCTATTCAACACCAGTACTTTGAAAAATATGGCCACGGAGAGGTATTTCTTTTCCTTCTTTCTTCTTCTGTTTATTTCATATACAGCTCCTTTCTTGTTTTCCCATGCTCAGTTATAGGTGAAGCACAAGTAATAGTTTGGTTGGTCAATTTTATCTTCCATCAACAAGCTGTTGTGTTTTTCGTTTATTTACTAACCTATTCAAATCCCTGAAAGGATTTGTTACGATAAGTAGAGAAATGAAATGTTTCCTATTTTGGTTTTTTTTTTTTTGGTTGATGGACTTTTAAAACTTGAATGAGATGTCTTGCCAGCAAGCAATGCTCGTCAAAAAATTCTCTGTTCATTTTAATTAGCTAAAAAAACACCTTCAAATTCTCTTATATGTTGAGGTTATAGATATATAAAATAAGTTTATCATTAACTTCATGCCTGCCTGCTAATTGCTTGCTTTCATAGAAGTTGAGGAGTGCCCATTGATTTAGCTGTACATATGAGGGGTTTATGCATTCTGTTTCCTTAATCATCGCCATCAGAAATGGTCGAATGAGACCCTTCCTTTGAACTTATCTAGCAAATGATTTAATTTTTTTTCCCCTAAATGCCAATGGATGTTCACCGTGATTGATACTACTAGTATTTAGGGATGATGATTCTAGTATAACCATAACCATGTCTAAATAAAAAACTAATAACCATATCTAACCTAACATCATGTATAAGGATTTTTGATAACCATATCCATATGGTGGATACCCATTCAAATAACCATCATCAGTCAACTTTTTTTTTTTTTTAAAAATGTATAGACTTAATTAATTGAATAAATAATTTCAGTAGTTTCTTAGAATCAATAATTTAATTAAATTTGGTTAACCATATATTAACAAAACATTATTAACAAGAACCAAATAAATTTCAAAACATAAAATTATTTTAAAGCATATCCATCCATAATACAACAACCAAATAAATGTTTCAAGGTGAATATATAAAAAAAAGTTGTTCCATTTTGAAATAAAAGTCTTAACAATCCTAAAAACTATAATAACCAACCCCTCCATATCATCAATAAATCATTCCACAATTGAACTTGCTATATAAACAACAAACTAATGGTTAATGCATGAACTATACCTGTAAATAAAAATAGTAGGAATTTTTCCTTACATGTTTTTAGTTTACGTTTCACACCTTCATCATTATTAATATCATAATACATGTGTTGAAATTTTATAGTTTTTGAAAACTAATAATGACAACAGATATATATTTTATCGATGGAAGAATGGAAACCATAACTAAAGCTATTCTTTCAGATTTTATCCATACATGAACGAAAACCACTTTTCACTCAAAAAATGCACCCATTTGGATTGGTTTGGATGGCTAACCATCGGATTTCCTCACTACCTACCATAGCAATCCCTACTAGTGTTACTCATCAACTCCATATAGTGTGCAAGCTGCTCTTTTGAAGTAAGATTATTTAAAATGGAGCAAGTTTGTTAGAACCCATACCCAGGGAAAGTGAAACCCTATTCCAGTTCTTCTGAATGTCACCTGAATACAATCTCTGAACAAGATTTCATTAAAATTTGTGACCTCATGTTTCAGACATAGATAGAGAGCGAAATCAAGATAGGAAATTTTATAGAAAAAATCTGTTGATTTGTAATAGGATGTTGTAGTAAGTATAAACTCTAGCCACTTTTATCAGTTATATAAGAGTTCATATCTGTCTGGTGTTCAAGAATCGACTCTTAACATTGGACACTTGTATCTGCTTAGTTGCTTACATATTTTTGGTTTATTGCAGATGATACCTGTAGCTGCAAATGATGTTGCTTTCTCAATTCATGCTGTTTTGTTAACAGCAATTACATTATTCCAAATTGTAATCTATGATGTAAGTGGTTTGCACTTTGTCAGTGTTTTACTGTTTTCTTTTCATCTCCTATTGAAGCCTGATGTAACCATTCTTTCATTTGAACAGCGTGGAAATCAAAAGGTCTCTAAGATTTCTATTGCAACTGTGTGTGTTGTGTGGTTAGTTGCTGCAGTATGTTTTTTTATAGCTTTGCCTAGCCACTCTTGGCTGTGGCTCATCTCCATTTTCAAGTAAGTTGCTCTCTTTGTCTTTTTGATCCTTAAATTGCAAATTTTCCTTGATACGTAAATTTTGTTGGAAATCTTCATGAGATAACTATGCCTGAGGTGGTTGTGATGGATTTAACTCTTTAAGATATAGTAGTCTTGATTCTTAACTCAATGAGTGGGAATAAAGGGTATTTTCCATTCAGTTTTTCAGTTCATATTCTATTTTCATACTCAAATGAAGTTTATAGCATCAGATTCTTTCTTTGTGCACATAGGATTGAGATTCTGCATGATATTATTTGGAAGTAAAATTTTTCAGTTCTCACTAATGATTTAAGATGCACCTTGGAATGAGCATAAGACATGGACACCTGTATTAGTTTAATATGCCCTATAGTCAATTGATTGGTTACACGTGTTATTATTATATTAATGTAAATATATATTATTAATAAATACTTAATTTATTTTTAATATTCATATAATATTAGATTAATGAATCTAGAGTAAAGATAAAGTCCATGGGACAAAGATACTTATGCAAATGAAATTATAAGGTTATTATAATTATGAGATTCTTATTGCATTAAAGCATTGTTCCTAAAATGTCTTTGATTGATGCTCTCTTAAATACCGGACATTCACTAGAGCCATAAAAACTGGTATATATTATATTCTTTGCTTTATGAAAGGAAACAACCGTTCTCATAAATTGAAGTATAAAAGATACCTAAAACTAATACGTAGGTGCTTATCATAAGACATATACACTGAATTGACCTACATCAGAATTCTATATAGAGAGATTACCTATGTCTATGGAAAGACTCATGTGATGGTTGTGTAAGTGATCCTTAGACTTGAGATTCCTAAGTCATCTTATATAAAAAAATGATATATTTTGATCTTGTTACATTATCTTAGTCGAGGTCACAAAAGGGCAGACTTTGGGTATAACATAAACTATATGAATATAATTGAGTAATCAAGAGAGGATTCATTATCCAATGTGAATTAAGGAAAATATATTAGCTTTTATCGGATAGTATTGACTAATAAATCTTTAGTTAAGGTAGAATAAGATTTGAAAAGAGTTTTAAATCTTATTCAAACAATCAATGACTATTATGTAGAGAATAAACTTGATTTAATATGACAAACATACTTCATGCTTCAATGTTATATCAGAACATTATTGATGAAAAGATATTAGTTACACTAAGAAACTGATTACTGAAAGGTCAAGTCAAACCATTAATAACTTTTCTAATATTGGGGGGGTCATGATACGTTGTTAGACAATGCACTTGATTTTCAAATATAAAGTAATTAATTGTTTAATTGATAATAAATTAAATTGTTCAATTTATTTAATTTTATTTAATTAGAATTAGAATTTATATTTAGGTCAACATATTAGGAATATAATAGGTCACTCATATTAAAAATCATTAGTAAGAAATTAAATTAAGATGATTTAATTAAGCATGACTTGATTAAAATATATTTTAGAAATTAAGGACTAAAATATAATTAATACAAAGATTATATTTCTAGACTTAGAAAAATCAAGTAAGCACTTGATTGAGTTAATTTTAAAATTATCTTGAATTAATATATGAATATAATTTAAGGAAAAAATTGATATTTTGTTAATTTATAAGGTTTTTTAGATTTTCTTATAGATAGTAAGCTATACCTCTTATTTTTTTGTAGTTGTTTGTTAGACAGAAAAACTGTATAAACATAGAATTAGATCTAACACTTTAGGCATAGCAATCCCTTTCTCCTATTTTTCTCACGGGTGGTTCGTGTGGATTACTGTTGGAGCCCGGACAATTAAATGGCTTGTAGTTTGCAATAACCCTACCTTTAAAGAATTATTCAAAGTTGAAAAGATCAGATCTTCATATAATAAATCTTTAAACAACTCTAGATTTGTCTAATAGTGTCATTACTAATCTAATAATGCTAGAATAATCTTGACACATTCTAGGTGGAGATTATTTGATAGAATTCAATGAAATCTTCAAACACTTTGGGGCACAAATCCAATTCCAGAAAAAAAAAAAGGTCTGGAAAATCCTGAAGATGTATACAATGGTGTATGATGAAGTACACAATTGCAAAAAGACAGGGAAAAAAGGATGCCTAGGGGGACACAGTTATTGGTTCAATGAGATCCTAAGGACTTTCAAATAATTTTGTTTCATAGTTTCCGCTGTGTGTATAATATTTAGGAACACAACAACCTGCTAGATGGATATTAGAGTGTGTGTAAGATTTTAGCTATCTATTTTCAGATTTTTCTCATGTAGCTGTAATTTGGATACCCATATTTGTTTGAGGATTGAGTCCCCAAGTTCTCTTATAACAGGAAACTCTATTATCTTTAATCTATCCTCTATGATTTACTCTGTTTCTTCACTGACCATGTTCCTTGCTGTTTGCTGTTATTGCGGGGATGTGTTCCTTTGCAGTTGGTTTCCAGACTGTTATTTCATCCTGTTTGTGCTCTAATTCATGTCTTTCTTCAATGAGACTCGTAATCTTGGAGACTCAGAAAAGCACTAGATTCCTTTCCCTCAATATAAATTAGAATTTTCATCAACATAGGCAATGGGGTGGTGCTCTCATCTCTCGCTGACATCTGGGGAGAAGGGTAAAAGGTGGGGCTGGGATTATAAGTGATAGAAAGGTTAATGGCCGAGAAATTTTCTGAAAGAGTGGCACATATTCAAATGCTGTGGCAAACTTAAGCACCGTCCTTGATGGACTGCTTTGTCATGGTGATTTAGAAATAGTCTGTGAGATTAGTTAAAGCTGTTGATAAAAGAACTAGTTAAAACCTGATGGCTGGGTTGCAATTAGTCAAGTTTGATAAAATGAGATCTCAAAATAGCATTAAGGGGATAATGTAAACCCTTAATTTTGTTTCCTGCCACTGGCTGGAAATGGCCAAGCAATTAATAGGCATATTACTTAGTGATGAGAAATAATTATTTTTGTTTCAATTCTGGATCTCTTCTTACTCAATGATGAGAAATCATTTTTTTTGTTTTGATCTGGATCTCTTCTTAACTACCTCCTCTGTTATTATTTTTGCTTTCACTTTGCCATTAAAGAGTGGATTGATCAATCAGTTGTGTGAGATTTCTTTCTTATTCCTTTATTTAAATGCTGTTGCAGCTCCATTCAAGTTTTTATGACTGTCATCAAGTATATTCCTCAGGTCAGAATTGCTTCTCTTTCATGTCTTTGAGAAGTCTGCGTGGGACTAATTGCCATCTAGTCTGGCTTTAAAGCCATTGGACTTGCAAAGGCAGCAATCTATAAATCAGATAAGATCTTTGATAGTCTATTTATAGCATTTTAACCTCATAAAACAGATGATGTAAACTTAGTTTTCCTCAAGATGATGTAAACTTGTATCACAATCACACAGAACCTGTCCTTTCCTACTCACTAATCAGCAGATGGAACTTGTGGATGCTTTAATGAGATAACCTTTCCTTTTACCACCCCCCCCCCTCCCAACCCCCAGCCCTTATTTTAGTTTTTTATTTCAATTTGACCCATTCTTTATCTGATCCTCTAGAATATTTCTGACATGACACCTCACATTTATTTGTGCTTGATCTGAGACACAGGTGATCATGAACTTCATGCGAAAGAGCACAGATGGCTTCAGCATTGGAAACATTTTACTTGATTTTCTTGGAGGGGTGACAAATTATGCTCAAATGGCAGTGCAATCTATAGACCAAAGTGTGTTCTCTTTCTTTGGGGCGGGATAATTTTGCCAGTTGAATCAGGTTTTATGCGTGATGCTAATTTGATCTTATTGTCTTTGCCAGATTCTTGGGTGAACTTCTATGGCAACATAGGAAAAACGTTGTTATCTTTGGTATGGAACATTTCTTCTATTTTGGATAATTCCAGTACTCTATGCAAATTTTTAACTGTTATAGGTCTCATGCTGGTAGTCTGGTTTTACCACTAATGCCAGATTATATGTTATCCATCTAAACCAGTTCTTTCTTTCACGTTCCATCTCAATTCTTCTTTGCTCCGTTCTGCTCTGGTTTTGATGGATACATTTTGCAGGTGTCTATATTCTTTGACGTTGTATTCATGTGTCAACACTATATCTTGTATCCTGAGAAGAAAGTTGTTCCTTCCAAACTCAACAAGGAGGGAACAGAGCCACTTATCAGGTTTTCTGAGGAGCGAGCTGCGCCAGAAAATGTGTAAGGTTAAATTAATATAGGAATGCAAACTTATGTAAATTTAAGTCAATCTTTACACTGTTTCGTCTTCCAAATTCACTATCGGACGTCGAGAATCAATGTCTCCGAAGCTAAACTAGTTGGCCATTGTATAATACACAGCTATATATTCCAAGGCAATTCGAAGTGTTTGATTCTCTAATGTAGGTATTTGTTTTGATAATTTGGTTCACAGCCTTGTACATGGTGGGGTTTACAAAGAATGATTGACGAAACTGGAGACGTACCCGCAGTGATCAAACTATCGGGACCACTTAGATTTGGTCCCTAACTTATCAGTTGTGTATCAAACATCTTGATTTTATTAATTTTGCTCCTACTATAATTGACGTTAGAAGATATACTGTTAATGAAAATTATAAGCTTTTCCTTACTTTGCATTTGATTTGAACGTGACCACCAGCGCTTTATAAAATGTCTCAATTTGTCTTCATTCTTATTTGTAAATTTATAAAATTGTCATAAAAAATGGTCTTTTATGGAAAATTGAGGCTTATTTTGGAGAAAACTTCTATGAAATTGTAATTTGGATCCCACTAAAACATACTGGACATGGGTCATTCCATTAAAATAATAATTAAGCAATATTTTAAAAGATGATGAGAAGATACTGTTTCCTCAAGAAACAAATCACTATAAATTGTGATGTGATAGTGGTTTGCAATTTTTTAAGTCTCTTTTTTCTTTATTGCATATTTAGAGGCTTAAATTTATGGCCAATTAAAGCTCATTTATTAAGAAAGAGTAAGATTTAATGATAGAGGACTAAAATGAAAAACACAGTAAAAAGAGATGGTTTTGCTCAAATTAGAGCTAAACGTATATTTTAGTCCTCTAACTTTTTAAATTATAAACTTTTAATCTCTAAAAATTATGAAATTCAATTTTAGTCTCACATTATATTTTCTTTAATTTTTTGGTTTAAAAATTATAAAATTCAATTTTAGTCCCACATTATATTTTCTTTAATTTTTTGGTTTCTTATTGGAAAGGAGTGAGCGAGTGAGATTGGTTTTTAGTGGTATTAGTGGTAAAGAGAGAAACTTTTAATTGAGACAAATTCCAACAATAAAAATGGGTGATTTTGGTTTCCATTGATTCCTTTTGATAAGTAAAGTTTAGACAATATGTTGTTTTCTCTTAAACTTGCCTGAAATAATGAATCTGAACCCGAAAGGAATTTTGATTTCAAGTTAATTGTGTGTTTTGGAGATAAGAAGCTATGAATATATTTTACAATATGCATAGATGTTTTGGTGGTTTTTTCATGTCAAAATATGTTTAAAATGAGTTTTGCTTGGTCTAAAATAGACCAGTCTGATTTTCTAGCAATCTTAGTAGAGATGATGTATCGCTTTAATTTTTTTTTTTAAATTATTAAGGTGCAAATGACTTGTTGTTAAAAAAATTATTAAGGTGCAAATGACTTGTTGTCCGCCTTTTAAAAAAATTAAAAAAAATAAAAATAAAGTCTGAGTGCATGGGTTGCTCCAGGCTTAGGAGCTTTGGGCTTTCCTAACCTGAGATACTCGACTTTTTTTTTGTTTTTTAATCCATTATAATTGTATTTTTTTAATTGTTTTAATTTCATAATTTAATATTTAGTTGATTATTAATTGGAAATATAATTTATTTTATTTTTTGTCCCCACTCACTTTGATATTTTGCTGGCTTTTAATTTTATAGGTATTCATGTTAAATCAAAGATTATAAAGAATAATAATTGTTGAATACAATTAAGTGTATAACCCATGTCATGGGTTTGGTTGGTTTACTTCGGCTAGGCTGGGATTGGGCTTAATAATTGTTTTATTGCATAATAGTTCTCAATTTATGCATGAACACAATCAAATATATGCATGAACTTTTTGAGTTCCGCTTAAGATTCTTTTATGTATAAAAACACATCGTAAAAGTCTACACATAATTTTTTATGAAAAAAATTCGATCCGCGACTAAACACAAGTTAAATTTTGTGACATCTTTATACAAAATTGTGCCAATCCTTCTAATCTTCCTCTTCTCCTTATTTGTCCCTAATTTCTTCCATTACCAATTGCCATTTCAAAATAGGAATAACAATGAATCAAGTTGGAATTAGATTTTGCTCTATTTATCACTACCTTGAAATATATAAATTCTTTCTTTGTGTTTGCCTTTAATTCAATTAGATCGGATTGAATCAGATTAAAAAATTTCTTCACCCAATAGATATTATATTTGAAATCAAAATAAAAAATAAAAAATGTAAGTTTGAAAAAAAGAAGTACATTTATATCCATGAATCATAAAATCATAAAAATGAGTTTAAACTTCAAATTCAAATCTAATTATGAAACACAAAAATTCTTCATGAATGATAAGATAAAAATCAATGAATTAGACTGAAAATCAAAATTACAATTTAAAAAATGAAAAAAAAGGTTAAAAAATCATACTAGAGCCTGGTCGGATGAACTCATCCCTCACTTTCACACCCCAATCCTGATCTAACTAGATGAAATTTTACCCATCTTTGGTTTGTTTTTTATTAAACCAAATAAAAATCCAATCTAACAAGATTTAATGACATAAAATATTCAATAGGATATGTAAAATTGTCACTTCTACATCATGCACATTATTGTGTTATTATATGCATTGGTAGCATAACTATATCAAGCACATTGGATTAAAGGATTGAATAGGGAAAGCAAATTAAAACAAGATAATTTTTTAACAATTGGTTTGTCACTAATAATGGATAGATTAAGGAGCGACATTATCTAATGTTGATTAAGTTTGAGATATTTTGATAAAATTAAAAAGATTTAAAACTCCATTATAGAATATTAGATTAAGGATAAAATTTGAGGTTTCTCTTAAACTATTTAGTTTGGCTAAGACCATGTCTATTTATAAAGTTGAAAAAACTTCAAGTTGAAAATGAGTCTTTCCATGACTGTTTAATAGACTTATTAGGGTTACTAGGCTAGGCTAATAGTTGATGGGTTGATAAGGTGACTAGACTTGGTCACTATTTGACAAGCTAATGAGGTTACTAGATTCCACGCTTTCCTGAAAATACAAGTCCCCTCTCAGAATAAAAGAGCCTCTGATGCTTAAGTTAGTAAATGTAAGTTGAGAAATAATGTATTGGAAAAAGAAGGAAAGTGAAGAACATATGGTTGTTCTTGTAGAATTATGTTTTGTCTTGTGTAGTTATTAAATGACTCGAGCTATTTATATACCTTGTTCACTTGAGCTTTTATCTATTGGAGAGTGAAGTAATGACTCTCATAGAGAGTGGAGTAATGATGGATGATGATTATTTTTCTTGCAACCTTATTGGTTGTTGTACCAATGATATAAAGGTTGGTGATTGCAAGTGATTGATGAGAAAAGTTGATGCTTATTAAACAGACAAATTGGCGAGAGATAATTATTGACGAGAAAGGTAGGCATTCTTTAATAAGACAAATCAGAGGGAGATAACAATTAGTAAGAAAAGTAGATGTCATATCAGTAATTCAAGCATAAGCATAGAAGAGTGCAACATCATACTAACTTTCTTAGAGGTCGTGACTCTGTACTATAGTGTATGGACATTACTAGTTCTTTTTTTTTTAAAAAAAACCTCTCATAGAAGGAATCAATCCAAATATGGTTGTACGAGACCTAATTTAAAGTGACTGCTTGAACTGCATAGTAGTCCTTTAAATTGGAGAGTAGTCTTTTAAGTTAGTGTATAGTCTCTTGAGCTGGTAAAGTACCTTGAACTACTTATAGAACTAGTAGAAACAAAAAAGCCTAGTCTAGTTGGGATGGCTAACCAAATTTGAGAGCAGTTTGGTTTGGTTGGCCTAACTAAACTAGAGATAGGGTGACTAGTCTACTTGGGTTGGCCTAACTAGACTCGATTAGGCTAACCAAAGTTTGTAACCTTTTTATTTTATTTTTCTTGTTGCACTACCATCCCCCTAATATTTGAATTTGTATGTTGATTAATATTTAAAAGTGTATTTGTATCAAGGTTTTATATCATCATTTTGCATTTGAAGTATCAATAACTCCTTAATTAGAGTATGTTTTATAATAACATATATAATAATGTAAGATACCTTTAATTTATAAAAAACATTCATCTTAAATGGAGGCTTATCACATAAATTAAAAGATTGATTGATGAGTTGAACTACTAAAATTGAGAAGACAAAGAAAGGGCTAATATTAGAAAAGAGATGCTGATTCCAAACTGAAACACCATTCGTATATTGGACCATAACTGGAGTTGTAGAACTTGGATTTAGGTGTACTTTATATGAATGAAAAGTTAAAATACAGGCCTCAAACTTTTATGTGAGTCCAAGATTCAAAAAGGTCATTTTCAAATTCAAATTGTAGCAACAATGGAGAAGTTGAAATATGTCTTGCATTATTCAGTGTTTAGCCCATATTTCGAGTTTTAGAAGTCTGACACGACTAAAAGATTGATGTCTTCTCCCAAGTGCAGGAGTGTCGAAGTAATAAATAACCCGGCAAGACCGGGGTCGAACCACAAGGAGGTTAATTGTACAAATTATAAACAACAATAGTACAACAACAATAATAATAATAACAACAACAATAATAATAGTAGCAATAATAATACTAATAATACTAGTAGTAGTAGTAGTAGTAGTAGTA